GGCTGGCGGGTGCACAGCCGCGGGTGCCGAGCTCAGCCGAGCCTGCGCGCGATGACTCAGACCAGCCCCAAATGAGCTGTGCGGAAAAGCACAAAATCGACCTTTTTTTCCTTTCTTTTTTTTTTTCTCCTCCAAAGAAACATCAATGCCCTGATATTTCTGGGCCAAAGGAGGCCTGCGGAGCTGGCGGAGCACTTTGATCTTGGCTGCTTAGAATTGCAATACTTGGCAATGAGCTCGTTTTTCTGCCTTAGCTAAACGGGTGGAGGGGGAAGAATGAAGCAAAGATCCCCTTGCCGGAGGAAAAAACCTTTCCAGGGAGCAGCACAGCTGGAGCAAGGCCTGTCCTCCCGTCTCGGGGCCTGGAAGGAGGTGGTGGCCATGGAAAATTGCTCGTGTGCGGCGCTCGCCATCCCTCCGCAGGGCTCTTGGCCCTGCTGGTGCTAGGCAGATTGCTGCGGAAATGCAGGATTTGGAAGGGGGAAAGGAAAAAGAAGGCGCCGAGTGCTACAGGACACATATTTGGGTGAGCAAATCCTGCGCATGGGCAAGATCAGACCCCGTGTGTATTTGCTCTGTCCCGCTCGGCAGTGACGAGTGGCTGATGGATCATCAGTGATCGGATGCCGTGCTGGAGAGACCTCTTTCCACTTGCTTCCACATTCCCTTTCCATGCAATGTCCTCGTCCTGCTCCTGGACTCACCGACGGGCACGGGTTTCGGGGTGCTGCCGCTTTGCTGTCTCGCAGCTCCCCTGCAAGCACGCGGCGTGCGGAGCCTGTGATGGCCACCCGGAGCCACTGCCGGCCCCTCAGAGCGAGCCTGGTACCTGCAGCAGCCAATTTGCTCCCGCATCTGGCAGGGTCGGCAATCATGGGGGAAGCAAATGCTAATTAATTGCACTCTGCAAAGCAGCCCGCTCGTGCGCGCAGTGCAATTAGGGAGTTAACTTCAGCCTCCACCGCTAGGAAACGAGGGCCGGAGGGATGACAGAGCTCCTGCTTCCCGGAGATGCAGCCGCTTTGGCCCTGGGGTGGCTCCTGTTGCAGCTCTCCATTTGCAGCAGGGACATGCGTGCCCATCACCTTGGCGTTGGGGCGGCACTCAGGATCAAGGCCAGCTGGCCCTTGGCTCCTGGGCTTCCAGGTCTGCAGGCAAACCCAGCTTGTCCTCAGGGTGGAAATGCTGCTCCGAAGGTAAAAACTCCAGGCAAAGGGAGCTGCAGCGCCCAGGGGCCTCGGAAGGGGGGGAATCATGTGCTGATGCCCTTCCGATTCGGAGGCGGTGAGTCATCCAAGGCCTCCAAGGATCCAGCCTGCGCCAGGATACGGAGGAAGGTAGAAGCACAGGGAGAGAGAGAAAAAAAGCCATTCTATGATAGCCTGGATACAGCAATGAAAGAATATATATATATATATGTATATATACAGTCCCTCTTGCCATCTTTCATGGTGATGCCCAGGTGGCACAGCGGGAAAAGATGCAATAAATAAAATAAATTTCAATAAAAAGGCAGAAAAAATATATATTTCCAGTCTAACCCCCAGTCAATAAAAGCTCGTATTAGGAAAGAGCTTCCTTTAGCCAAAGAGTTCCTTTAGGCATCGGTCATTTCATATTGCCTTTAAATACTTGTGTTCAGCGCTCAGCCATGCAACCTGCTAAACGGGCATCTGGCTTTGAACAGGGGTGCTGGCACTTTGTGTTTAGAAAATATATATCTCTATCTATATTTAGGCGCTCTGCAGCGAGCCCTGAAAACAGAGCTGGTGCAAACATTAAGCAGCCGCGCGGAGGCTCTCCATAGTTTATTCTTTATTTTGGAGCACATCGGGAGCCTGGTGGCCCCCGGGGATGTGCGAGCTGGAACCTACGGGATTTCTGTACTAAAAGGGCCTTCGGCAACAAATAGGTAAATAATTAAATAAATAAAAAGACAGGATTGGGGAAGAGAAGCGAGAAATACCCATCTCCTCTGTCTCTGGTTTTCCAGGCTGGTGAGGAGGGAGGAGGAGGAGGGCGAGAGGAAGATCCCTGTGAAGCTGCAGGGAAGATAAATGAGACTCTGGGAGCTGCTGCCTCCGCTAACGTCTTCTCCCTCATCCAGACACCCTTGGGTCCAGCACCCACCTCTGCGCTGGCACCCTGTCCCTTGGGCACCCATCCCTGCCAAGCTAATGGAGCTGTTGGAATCCCCCATGGAAAAACACCCGCTCAGGGCTGCTGGTTATTAAATCGCTTGACTTACGCATTCGATACTTATTTAATTGCTGCTATTAATCAGCACGATCGATGCAGACAGGTCAAGCCTTGGCATCCCCAGCTTGGTGGCCAGAGATCCCTTCAGACCTCAAAACCTCCTGCACTTTTCTGCTGGGAAAGCGGCTACCTCCTCCCCTCTGACCCCAGCTGAGGCCACAGCGGGTCCCAGCCTTGGTCCTGGATCTGGGGATGGGGGAATCCCAGCAAACTGAGGCATCATATCCTGGAGCTGTGGCAGGAAGCTGAAAAGTTGCATGAAAAAAAAAGATATTTTAGATGCCATGGTGGAAAGACCTTTCGGATTTGCAGAGCAAGGTCCCAGAGCAGTGCTGCTCTTGACGTGGCCTCTTTGGTTTCTTCTAAATGCAACGGAGAGATCCTGGGATGCTCCAGGCATCTCCATCCCAACATCTCCATGTGATCCAGGCACTGAAAAAGCCAAAAATAAAAATCCCTTTGCCAGACCCAGGGTCTCCTTGCATCCTTCCTCTCCCCAGCACCCACACACCCAGCACATTTTGCCCAGCAGAAGGGAATGGGGCTGAGTATGATTTTTCCTGGTGCCTTTTCCTTCCTTCCCCGCAGGAGGAGCTGCCTGGGCTAAAAAAGAGCAAATCCAGCCCAACAAAGTTGCTCACTTGGCAGGGAGCGCCCGAAATGGGAAAGGTGCCCAGCAGCAGCTGCTTTCAGCTTCTGGAATTCTGAATTTGCCCATGGTTTTTAATCCTTTGCTGCTACAGGGAGGGAAGCACTGAGAAGGATGGAGACAAGTGGGAAGAAAAATGTGCAAGTTCCTGTTATACCTCCCAGCCCTGAGTTGTCCAACACCAGGTTCCCAACTCCTGGTGGAAGGCCAGGACAGGATGGAGGGAAAAGGCACATTATTATCAATATTTTCTATACAACAGAGGAAATCATCATCATTTGGAGCCCCGGAGAGCTGGGAAAGCCTTGGGAGAGAAATCAGCTCTATTATCTTCCCATCCATTCAGGGATTCCCATGGATTGGGCTGGAGCATTGCCAGAGCCGCTCACAGGCGCCAGTGTGATTTTTTTTTATGGATGTTTTAATTAAAAACAAGGAATTCTGGAGAGGAAGAACGTCTTCCCCGATGGTGCCGTACACGGTGGCAGGGGCTGCTTGCAGGGGATGGGGGCAGCAGCTCCAAGGTTGCTCCAAGCAAAGTCGGGACAAGGTGGAAAAGATGTATGTGGACATTCCCAGGGGATGGTCCCAACGTTCCCTCGTAGGTGCCCTCCCTGCCTCAGTTTCCCTCCTTTTGGAAGCACTTTGGGCACCGTGGCGTTTGGCCAAGCTGAGCGGCTTGATGGCCAAGACTGCTAAAGATTTTCCATTTGTTTTCCGCAGCCGTTTGGTTTATTTTTGATGTTCCAGCTGAAAAAGGAAAAAGCAACAACCAGCACAAGCAGGGAGCGTCTCCCAGCCCCCGCTCTGCCGCATCTCTTGTGGCCCCCTCCCCAGACACAGCGGATACCTGACCCCCTCAGCCCCAAATCCTCCCTCTCTCCTGCCTCAGTTTGCCCTTTTTGGGGGGATTTTGTGCCCCTGCCGCTGCGCCGGGCCCCCTCTGCCCCCCAGGAGCAGC